ATTATGTAAATATTTTGTAACTTCTCGCAATGGACATATATTCATTTTGCCTGTGGCCTTCTTTACAGATGTAGGTATCAAAATTTTAGTAGAGAAAATTTTACTGTATTGAGGTAACACTTCAATATTTGATTAGTCAGTCTTCGAACGGCTGCTTATAGTAAGTAATTGAAGGAATAGTTTCGTGATTAATCCTATTCCCTCTGAAAATCCAACAAATTAAAAGTTTGAAGGTAGTTAAACTATGGACTGGTCGTCGCTATATAACCGTTGTTCAACCATTTTGTCCTCGTTTCAAACTACTTAGTAATATCTGCCTCTGACCCTGCAGGGAATCGGAATCAAAACCGTTAGGCCACGTGGCGAGCACCTCACTACAAGGCGATTGATTCACCAACTAATAGTTCACATTCACAATTTCAGTTAGTTTGGGATACCAAGACTATCATCCATTTCCATTGATGATACCTGCCTCCACTCAACATGAATTAACTCCACCGATTTTGATATCTCATTGGAACTCTTTTTGAGACACGTTACTAGTGAGTACATGGTTATCATTAACATGGAAGGTTTTGGTAATTGTTCCTTTCAGACACTGACCATCCGAAAAATCAGAGTATATGTGGATGGTCGAATACCAGAAATATTCGTTCACCCACAAACTAATATTATTAATAACTTTTATAAGTTATACTTCTCAGTTTACGTTCCATGTTGAATAATTTATCAGTCATAACACCTGATTCACAATTGAAATTACATATACTTTTGTAGTGTTGCAATATTTGCTCATAATTTATCTATTTAACAGTAAGATTAAACATGTTATTTGTAACGTATTCAAATAAACGTGTTTTATTCAAGAAGACACGAAATTTATTCATGTAATACAACACGAACGTTAAGCATACATGTAATATCTTTAGTTGGTAATAGAATAATAACAAAATCACGTAAAAATTCAAGGGTGACTGAGTTAACTAAAGACTTCCAAAAAATTTTAAATGTTGGAATTGATCCTAAACTCGTAAGTGTTCTGATATAGATTCATAGTTAAGCTAAAGTTTTTCGATTTTGAGCTTTTAAGGTTTTGTTTTGAACAGGATGAGAAACAATAAGATTTTCAGTAAGGTAATTCAGCGGTTACAAACAAAAACATAAATGATTAAGCCGTAAAATTTAGCCAAAATCAACTTTTTATGTATACTTTTCTTAATAATCTGAAACACGACAAGTAAGGAACGACTTCACTTTATTTCGAGGTTTTTAATTAGCTGTAAGCAGCTAATGATCATTTGGGCTGTTTGCATCCAATAAAAAGCTTCAAAACAGATTAATTCTATTGTTTTCCATGATTTGTGTTGTGTTTGTTCTTTTCTCCAACTACCAAGAGGCATCAAATGTAACACTCTGATATCCATAAACGTGACGAAAATAAGTTGTACTATGTTCTGATTCACAGACGTTTTTATTTTCCACCACTTCTTATTTTCTCTTCTTCCTACTTTGTGTTTTACTCCTCACACATTATTCTTGTTAATTTCTCTTGGTTTTAATTTCCTTGGATGCATGATTACTTCAGTCTGTATGTTACTGTGTTGTTTATCATATTGTATTCCTATCGGTTAACTGTGTACAATTATTTTGAAATATACAATTTATTCAACCTGCTAGATGTTAGATGCAATTTAAAAACATTTAAAAAACACACACATATATATAGAAACTTGAATAAATAAAAGTAGTGATTAGTTTGAATAGCTATTTTCTAGTTCGACTTGTTAAAGTAATATACAATATGTGTGTACATATAACGAATGTAGATAATCAGTAGTTAAAACATGAAAATCAATCCAGTTGGAAATTAGGTTTCATTTGTTTATTTATTTTATCTATTCGTTTGTTTTTTGTCCAGCTGTTACAAATTTGATGAAAATAATCAAATTAATCTTTGTTATACAATTGATAAGCGTTAAAAATCATTCATACAAACTAAAGATGACAACAGATGTAAAAGGATTTTCTTTACAGATTTTCCGAATTCAATATTTAAAAAAAATGTTACTCTTTTATTCCCCGTATTTTTTGTCAACAATATTTCTTCAATATTTTAGACAGAAAACTAAAAATCTATTTTCGAAATTTAATTTACATAAATCTGACTGAATTTAAAAATTACCTACCTTACAAAGTGCTTTATCTTCAACCTATTGATTTTAGCCTTTTGTCATAATAGATACCAACAAGTTAGAATTCGATAATGCTCTTAACTAATTAATGTTTGATAGAGATTTATTGATTTTTGAGATAATTTCTTCTGTCTCCTCCAAGTTAGATGAATCAAGATACACTGCATATTGCAGGTCCCTTTGAATATAGATATCAGTTTAAAACATGTTAATTGTGAATCGCATTGATAAATACTGAAGTTTTTTAAATAAATTATACGGAATACTTTTGTTTGCACATTCCTGACACCATTATAACAATCATATTGCTCATATATAATGAGCTAAATTTCATCGTTTCATAATAAAGGTCATAAATTGATTTCATGAGTTCATCTTTCGTAGGAATATACCGATAGCCTACTGTTGATAACTTCCTTTACAGAGAAAATATCAGTAAACTGACTCTATATTATTGAGTGGTTTGGAAAATCAAGTGGTATAAACTAAATACACCTATCGAATTATTAGAAACAGGGTAACATTCTAATTAATGAACTTTTTAAATGTTTTTTTTCATTCATAGTTGATTTTAACTCATTAGGTCAATTCATATTTTCCAGTCACTAGTAAATTAAAAATAACGACGTTCACACATGCTATTTATATGTTGTGTATTATATAAAATGAAGCAGAACTCTTTTGCAATGGATGTTGCAATACATGGACGACAAGGTTTAAGGTTAACCACATTGTACAAGGTTATTTAGATGCGTCATTATGAACGTGCTGGTATTAAATGGCTCGTGCTGTTGAATTTAGCTAATTACTCAACACATAATACATATATTTTATTCAGACTAAACAACCAGTACTGTCTAATTATTAATATTTCATATGTTATTAATTCTTTCCAAAGCTACAAGTATAAAAAGGAGTCAATGTACTTTAGTTAGTTATGTGTGGGGGAAAACTATACTACTTAGTAAAACAATATAGAAAGCATAAACTTTTTTAAAAAATACACATTTCAATAGCAACTATTTATCATTTTCTCTTATTTCTGTTAACCGAAATGATGATAAACGTTCTTTATATTACACATTGTTTAAGCTTTACAAGAGATATTTTATTGACCATATCATGAAAAACGTCTCATTAATAATGCAACACTTATGTAGATTGTTCAGTTCGAAGATAGTCTATATAACAATCTGACTTCAACTAGACAATTTTTAAAATCAACAAGCTCTGAACATCTATTTTATTCTAGTTTGTGTTACATCGGTTGTGCGCAACCATGATCCCACATAGATTCTTTAAGTGTCTAATGCATCGTTTTCAAACCTCTGAGTTGATATCTAGTGATCCATGCTCCCAACGTCTATTAATCTGCTTTATTATGCGATCTGTAGTCCCTTGGTTATATTTCTAACAATATTATGAGTAAAAAATTCGGAAGCCCCATACTATGATTAAATTTGTCTGGTGCTTCTTGGTTTTCTACGGTTATAGGGCTGAATCCAGTTAATAATGTAAATTATCTTCTGATATTTCATTTATATTATCACCCCTGTGTGTAATCGAACATTATACTATGTATCTAGTTAGTAAATGTTAGGGTATTTTTATGCCCGAGCTATTGGTTTTAAGGTCAAATAACAACGATGCAGACTATCCCATGTATAATAATTAATTACAACTACACAATAGATGAACAGATACGAAATTCTCGTCTGAATGTCTTATCAAATGGGTTAAAACCTTGGCCCTTAACTGCTATGTACCAGATTTGAAAGCCACCCTCCTAACATCCATTTTAGAGGCTAGTTAGTATCCCGAACTCCTGCACAAAACATATGGCTTAAATTCCATTCCAAACTAAGAGAGTTCATTTTCCGTCTTTACAGCTAATTAGTCTCTAACGAACTTAGTCACTCTATTGGTCAAATCATTCACTTTAAAGAATTCACTTTTTACTTTTTATCTGTCTGCTTTGCCAGTATCCGTTTGTTTAACACCGGGGAGTGAGAATATCTGGATTATTTACCAAATGGTTTCTCGTTTGATATCTAATTATATTATGGTGTGTGCTACCAATGTTGACAGATATAAGTAGTATGTATCATCAGTCGAAGGTGAAATACCTGGAGGCAGAAGGTTAGGAAGATCAGAGAAAAGAGAACAGGAACAAAGAATTATTGGTGTAGAAACGAAAGAACACTGAAGTCTGAGACGGTTGATTGATATGTTGCAAATGAACTATTTACTGTATGGTTCACAGATTTTACTAAGGTGTTGTGTAATTTTGTAATCAAATACATTCAATGGTCCCCACTTATGTCCTCATTCACTACATTTGGTGTCACTGCCAACCAGGAGTGAGGAAAGGGTGCTGTTTTGCGATATCACATACCTTCGTTATAACTTCTAAAGACCCGGTGTAAGATTCTGATCTTAAGATGGTGAATAGTTTTAGCCCAGGTGGATGATTTTGTGGGTTTTCGTTCTCTGAGCTCGATAGTTTGATTAGATAGAGAGTCTACGTGAAGTTTGTGCTGATAATGTTGTTCAAAAGAATAATGAAAGCTCAACCGAGCAATCCGCTCCAGGAGATGAAACTTCATTTTAAAAAATTATGATCCACTTGTAAGTGATAGATCTGTTTTTTCGATGATAATGAGTGATGACTTCTCTGATCTGCACCAGTACTGGATATTTTGAGTGATTAGTTTAGTCCTAAAAACTGTATTACATTATATTTCTCGCTTAATTTAATAAAATTGAACTCACTAAATAACATATCGACTTTCTTTCTACTTTCAAAAGGATCCTTGCTTACTCGAAGGTTTTAATGTAATAAGTGAAATTACTCCTCGTCCAGTTATTGGTGAGATGCTTGAACCAGCGAGTGAAAAATTTTCTGTTCAGTATACAGTAAGCTTTATGAAAGGATAGCATTTGCGCATCTATTCATAATATTTTAAAACAAGTTTATATTGCTTTTTAAAAGGTAGAAAATCGTTTAAATCATTCGCAATAATGACTACACAGACTGCATGGTCGCATAATAAAAGAATACTTTCAGCATACAGATTGAGATAAATTCAAAGCATATTCATATCGTATGATGTTGACGTCAGTTTCTGTTGCCTAGTAACCTTGGACACTATTGAAATGATTTAAAGTATGATAAAGCATAAGTGATTATTAGAATAACTTAAGAATTTCAACGGTATCAGCATGTTTTTCCTACTACTGTATTGTTTACATACAAACACAAAATATGATGTCAATGCCTGAAACAAAACAAAATGCACGTTTTTTCCTCATCTAAGTAATCATTATTAAGACATGGTAAAACTAAATAACTCGGTTTAGGTTTACCGAAGTTATACATTTGATGGAATGTAATAGACATTAGTCATGTAGTTTCATTTAAATATCTATGATTGACGTTATTTTTTATTATGCAAGTGAATTTTGTTTTCACAAAAAGAATCCATGTGCTTTAATTATACCAAAAAGAGAACAAAATAACTGATTTTGTACACAGAACTCTGGTTTAACTTTATGAATGACTAAAACCTCTGTATTGAAAAATACTTTCAGGATGTAACTCTTGGAATATTAGACTAGACCCTATAAATATTATCATACGATGAATCTGAAGCCGAATAACTGGAATATACAACATTTTTCAGAATAAAGAATTCAGTTAATCTGTCCTATCTTTTGTTGAATCATGCTTAGCAACATTCTTTAGTGTAATGAAAAATAGGTGGCCTCTGAGGAAAACATACGTTATTGAAACCCGACCATGAAAACTTGTAGGTTACACGTTTCACGTAGGTTTTCCAAGTATGTATATATATGTAGCTTATTTTCATTTCTCTTAAATAATAAAAAAATGGTATTTTTGATCCACATTTAGTTTTCCCAGGTGGTCACTAACGAAAGACCTGAAGATTTCCTTGATAGATAGCACAATTCCTTTGTTCTAGTATTGATATCATTCATAGAAAATATCTGAATTTACAGGTCGTGAATTCAAAATAGAATCCAGATTATATTTAGTATTTTATTTCCTTGCACATTGGGAATGTTTTTTACGAAATTCACAATCCTCTGTATTTATTTAAAGCATTTAATAATTTAATGTTACACATAGGATTAGTCCATATTCATATATACAATAATTAAAACAATAATGAAATTAAGTTATCGCACATTTAAAATTTGTTACTCTTGATGAGTTGGAATCCAGTGATCCATATTTGCAACTTCAGTCAATTTGTAATTTGGCTCAGTAACCATCCAATATCACCGGTAAATGACGTCTGTATTCGTAACGTAAGTGGACTCAACCAGTCATAACTCTTTGGTAAATTTCGGTAAGTTTTATGAAACCAAGTCATCATTGAATATATGGTTATATCTTTGTTGAGAGGTTAAGAATTGTTATTATCCCAGAAATTTTTATCCCAACTAACTTTTGTTTTTAATATTTATAAATTCATTTAATTTCTAGGGTACGGGTAATATGGATAAATGTATGCAAAATGTGGAACCTTTACTTAATTTAAATCAAAGTTGTTCTCCATTACCATGTGCAATTAATAATGTTGTTCAATTGGATCCAGACTTCAGTTCAATGGAATTTTATGGCCTCAGTGAATTTTATTATACTTTAGAAACATTAAAAATGATCCCACCTGTTCAGTATAATTATTCTTCAGTATTAAGGAAAATTGAGGTTAGTTTTTAAAAATGTTTTCAACGTTTTAGTTTAATAGTATTATTTATAATTTAGTTAAATTTTGCAAATAATACCCGCGTTTTAGGTATTTGTGATTTTTTTATAACGTTTATACAACTGAATGATGTATGTGTGTGAATAGAGCATTTCATTTGTTTACTATGGTATTTGGCAAAAAAGGTTTGTTTGTTAGAATCCAAGTATACAAATATTAAGTGGAAAGTAATTGAATGATGCTCATACTCCATACTTTCGAGTCAGTCTGATGACTCATTTATTCGTCTTTTTTCACCATGATAAATATGTATACATTTTTCGGTATAGGGGATTTTGAAGGTTGTTAAGTTTTGTAGTTTTTTATACTGTGTTCTGACTTTCGTTCAACAACCTTTTGAAATCAGATAGCACTAGTTAATTATTATGTTATCCTAGTATGGATCAAATTAACTGAAATTAGAGAAGTAAACCGTTAAATACCAATTTAGTGATTGAAAGGTCGAGTTCTCTCCTCAATGCATGAATGACGGTGGTTTTATTCGTAGTGGGACCGTCGATTCGCGCTGATGGGAGTCACGTGATGGAACGGAGTAGTCGTTCTGCGGCTAGTAACTGCACTAACCAATACAATATCTTGTTGTGTATACTCAACTGTCTGCCAAACTCATCACATATTTTAATTCAATATTGTGTTTTACATCTTAGATTGCTCTCCCTGGAACTTTTTTTTACAACAAATGTACTAAGAATATCCTAAATTTCATTTTCTAAACTCTATAGTTTAAATCCCTAAATATCGTAATATAATTCATTTATGCACCTTAAATCCATACTCCCTGCTATGAATTTTGTTTTCCTCACACCGGGAGTCGTATATTTTAACAAATTGTTTTGTTCTGCTTTGGAGATCTATAACAAACTGCATAGCTTTTGGGAATATTATAAAAGTTGTCTGACATGATAACATTCCTCTTTTTCCCACTATGCCCATGGGTAATATATCCTTATGCAATTTGTTTGTACTAAGTTCCATAATTCGTAGATATTCATTTCAACCTCATAATGGAGGAAAACTTCGACAGTTTTTTTGCATTATTAAAATTAAGGTATATATTTCATTCATATATACCCTTTTCATCATATTGATATAACCTTTTTGGATTTCAAGTTGTTAATATATTATAAGAAATAGAATCGTTTTCTTGTGTTTGTTCTTTTTACGAAAAAAATACATGAAGAGCAGATTTTTCTTTTTTCATGTCATCTGCTTGGTTTAGTATTTAAGTATAAAATATATAACAATTACTGGCTAAAATCATTTCCATAATGAATTTTGTGGAAATGGATTACTTTCTTTTATTTCTTATGCAACCCATAACAAACTGGTTGAGGCAGTTCAATTACAATTCGATTTGTTGTAAACTTAATATTTGACTATACTATTGAAAATTAACTTGGAATATCTAAAATTTTCCAAATAAATAAAAGGATAGATTGTCTATTATTATCGTAATAAATAATGTAACGATATATGATTCGAGTACATTCTAGTTCATACATGAACAACGTCTCAAAAGATTATTGTTTACAACATGTGATCAGTTAAAAAATTTCACATTCTACTTACTAAACTGACTAATTATTAATGCAACGGTATTTGATTGACGGTTATATATATAAACCAGATTAGCTGTAGACAGAGATAATATATTAACTGATTTGGTATATTTGTTCAGTCTAAATACTTTCATCCATAATGCTCTCCTTATTTCTACACATATAAATAAAATAACTGATTGACCATTGTGATAAGAATAGACATTGATTATTTTGATGTACAGTAATAATAACAACATCATTATTCGGGAAGCCTTAATTATCATTTTGTTTATCTGGATATTATCAACGTCGAATAAATTATCATTTGGTTAAATAAATAACTCATGTGAATAGCAAAATAATAATTGTACCAATAATTTTTATTAAATTATTAACTTTATTTAATATGTGTATAGAAAATAAATGTGAAGTTCTTGCATTGGAGGCCGTTAATATTCATTGTTGATTAGTTTTGAACTATAGTAAAACAAATATCCAGTGTTCCTTCAATTAACTGCAGATTGATATAAATATTATCTTTCAATCTCTACAGTTCACTTTGTAAAACACATAAGTATAAAGTGTAATTTCATTGGAGTTTGTCCTCTTGTTACTTAAGAGTTTATTCGAATTCATAATTAAATGCATCACATTTTTCTGGAATATTATTTATTATTTCATAACATAATTGCCATGTCATAGTTTACATGCGTGTGTATACTTGAATTTTTACATAGAAACACATACACATAGTTATTGTGTGTAGTTCATTTGTGCTGTAGCGTTAATGGCTTTAATCTCCCTGTGCATAATACCAGTGACAAATTACTGATGGATAAATAGATAATGTAATCAGTCTGAATATTTTTTATACAACGTTTGATAAAAGTAAAGTGCAAATACAGAACGAAATCAAGTGAAATAATCAAATTTAATAGGCAATATCTATCACGGAAGACTAATACAATAAAAACAGATATACATGAACGACTATGTGAAGTTCAAATTAATGATTAATTATTACTCATCTCTAAATCTTCAACATTCTTGATTATGTACCTTCACTGAGTTGTACAATTCTACATAATTTCTCATCAGTTCTGTTGTAATCCGTCGAAGTCTCTATATTAAGGAGTATTTCCATTAATGCCCTCTTTTTAAATGGAATGTTTGTTTGAATCTTCACATTGATGTTTAGGACTGTCCTTATTAGCAAAAATCATTGAATTTCTCCGGTTTATGTCATCATTAAAAGATGTAATTACGTTGAGATATGACGTTATCTTTCATTTACCTAACGAATAAACATACTTTATATTTTCTTTCATTCTGTAAGCTTGTAACAAATACAAAACTGTTATGAGTTTCTATCTAGTTATAACAAACTGATAAAGTTCCTGTTTTCCTTATTTCACTTTTAATAGCAAATTTTATGTACTAAAAGCGTTTTTATAATTAAATTTTTATCGGTATGGGGTTATTTAGAGTGCTAAGTGTTTTTGTATTACGAACGAATCCAGGCTAAACAACCACTAAAAGCCTAGAAGCATTAGACAGTTGTTTCACGCTAGTATGGGGCTCTTCAGCAGTGTGCATGCATGAATCCGCTAACCAGTGTTTCCAGGTTTTCATTGGTTGTCCAACTTACATCAGTTCATGATCTCAATAAAATTAGCTTTTTGTTATGATGCTCATCAGTAAATTTGTTGTTCACACTTGATCTCTTTTTCAAGTGCATTACTACTTACATTGTGTTCTCTATATAAGTACCAAAAACAAATGAGCATGTGTTTGGCATCACATTCATTGGAATTATTTGTTCAAATCTATTTTATTATTCTCATAAATTAGGCTTTCATACTTAAACCAATTCAATAAATAATCAACCTCATTTGCAAAGGTTTGTTTTTTCAGTGTTCTCGATTCATATACCTTCACTGTCCTTTGGTCTCAAAAATTAATTTGTGTTAAATGTTGTACAAATAATGTTTTGGTTCACCCTTTAACCAACAATTAAAAACAGAAGAACAACATCAAATGAAGATGAATTGCTCAGATAATTTTCAATTACCATGATAAACACGCTTACATAATCCTAACAAACTAGATAAAAATATAATCACTTAAAACAAATCGTTGCTTTTGGCAACTGTTCAGCAACCCCATGTATTTCACTTCTTTTCCAATCTGATAAACCAAGTCTTAAATTATTACCGGCTTTAAAATTTTTTGTGGAATGGCAGAAGCAAAGAAAACCATAAGAGTATCTTTGAACTCTTGTAACTGAATTAATCATGTGTGTAAACTTACTGTCTTATTATTTCCATATTTAGTTTGGCACATTATTGAAGGTCATGGATTTATATGAACTTCGAAACGCTTTAGGAAGTCGAATTAGCAATCTTTCGATCTACTAGATTTGATCATAAGAAATGTTTAATCATACATAATCTCGGTTCTAATGCTTACCAACAAGAAAATACTTGAACACAACTATTTCATTCCACCTAATCACTTATCTATCTCCAATAATATGTTGCTTGATATCGAATAGTTTGCCCAGCGTAACATCAGTAAAATAAAAGGATTGCTTGTTCTAAAACGGAATATCACTTACTATGATCAAGGAGATATAGCAGTTACTTTTTCACTGCTGGGTTCCAGCTTTGAACCCCACTCCATCTATTTTAGTGTGGACAAAAGAAGGGAATTTTACTGATCCTTGTACAACTAAAATGTCACGCACAGTTGATTAAAGGTCTTGGTACGCGATGAATGAGTTAACATAACTGTTTTGTTTTTCATTTTGCATCTCCATGAACTGTGTGCCATTTCAACTATTTTAAACCGAAAGATTTTATATTTTCACAGATTGAAATCATGAGTCAGTTGAAGCTAGACCACCATTGAAAACCTGGAAGCACTGGACGGCCGTTTCGTCCTGGTATGGGACTCCTCAGCAGTGCGCATCCACGAACCCGCACCACCCGGGGCTCGAACCCAGGACCTACTGGCTCCGCGCGCGAGCACTTAACCATTAGACCACTGAGCCGGCATCCAACGGTGTTAATGTCTAACTTTATATTTGTTGAAGCTCAGTTTTAAACTGTGTGTACAATTTATTAATTTCCTGACATGATAATCTAATTAAATATCAGTCATTTGTTGCTTTTATTTAGCACAGCTTTATTCTGAACACATTTGACTCTTATTTTCAAAGTAACATACAAATCTCATTAATATTATTGTTTGTAATTAATGTCACTGATTTTGTCTATTTATTTGTGATAGGAAACTTGTAGTACACCTTGGGAAACTTATTTATCAACACTTAGGAAAGAAAACACAAATTTATCTGAAGAAAAGTAAGTTTTTTGAATATATATATATATCACAGTGTTGAAACTGTTTCTGTTAAATTCTCAATTAGGCAAACTTCTAGCCTGTTTTGAAATCAAACCAAAAATATTTTTATTTATAGTTTGATAATGGCTAGCTAAATGTACTTTATAACTAAAATGTCTTCATAATTGTCTGCTTACTAAGGGTTTAACTATAGATTAAACTGATCGACATTATTCTTCGATCTCTAAATGCTGTTTTCATTGTAAATTGTTGTCATCTAGAAAACCACCGATAAAAGCACATGAAACAGTTGTTTCGGCCTAGTTTGGATCGTCTCATGAGTGAACTCTGACAATTGAACACACTGTATCAAAACATAAAAGCTCTATGATAGTTTGAGCACTTTGCTTGTGAACCAATTATTCAAAATCCAGTCTTTCACGCTTCCGAAAATTATCGTTGTAGTACATTGTGATTTTTTGAGTAACTCATTGGATGAACTCAATCTGTAATTGTACCACCCTTCAGTTGTTTGCTAATGATATTACATTTTATCAGAGCATACTTCTCATTGTGTCCTAATAAGTCATAATCATTTTAAAATATTTCTGAAGATAAAAGTAAGGGAATCTTAATAAAAGAATATTTAAAGCATTTAAAGGCTTGAAGCAATTTATTCAACAGTAACCAACTCTGTACTTTGTTGACTAAGTTACTAAGCTTAAATAATATTTAACTAAGTTTCATTTAATTTATAAGCCAGTGATCTACAGTAGTCAACGTTTCAACTAGGTGTGGATGGATAAATATAATACAGTCATATGCATATCTATCCACACACTATAATTTCTTCAACAACAGAACATTCTGTAAGAAGTTTCGATCAGTGTTTAGACTTAAACGATTTTTTCTACGACTGGTGATTATCGAGCGCCATTATTCTTGCATATTGTCGTCTATCGACTATCTGTAGTAGCAATGATAAATATTATTTTGACATTAGCTTGTTAATTTTTTTAGTGTATTAACTATTCAAACTTTTCAATTTTTATATTCAAAAATCTGTTTGTGAACTATTTTGTCATAGTAGTTCAACTTTTACAGTAGAAATTTCATCCCTAGTACAGATCGTAAAACAATACACGTAATCTAAAGCTTTTTCTATTCAAATTTGTTCTTGCATTCTGAACACGTGATTCAAGAAACCTGATCGATGAGGGTGCTTTGCGTTTCTCCTCTTCTTTTATAAATGGTGCCAAAAAAACATTGGAAATTATAAAACCTTTCATTTTGCAAAAACTGACAACAATGTATTGTCTGTAAAACAGAATTTTAATAAAACCCTAGATGTATTCGAACGTATGAAAACTAAATATCCTGTCGATTTCTGATCACAAATTACGAGAAGTCAAGGTAGTATCGTGAATTTAAAGGCCTATACCATTTGTACTCTGACTTAATAACCTGTAAATACGACACTCTATAGCAAATCTGAAGGTCCTTATTTAATTCAAAAATGGGCTCTTGCCCATCTGCTGCTAATGAGTTTCTTACTAGGACAAAATAGCCGCTCATTTTTTTCTGTTTTTAATGAACTTCCAGCCTGTCTCATTTTGTAATGAAGGATGTTGTTATTATTTTGGGAAAAACTTATTTTAAATCAATTTTTGTAATGTTATAACAATGAAATTTAAAATAAGGAAGATAATAGTTAGACATCCTACTAAATCTCGTATTTAGTTATGAGCGGTGTTGTATACAATGCCTAAAGTGTTCATTTATAAAAATATTACCAAATAGTTATGCCGCCGTTTATATATATCACTATTATCAAGTGCGTATTACATAATTCTTCACTGATTCTCATTATGAAAGTTAATCACAACCAAACCAATAAATCTCTTGCTGAATTTTCTTATTTCTACAAAATGTTTTATTCGGGTATGTTAGAAGGAGAGAAAAACACAAGTATATCATATCTTTCGATTGAGTAAAATTTATTAATTTCATTTTCATCACAAAATCATTCACACTTTTGCCCAATTATTTTTTCTATGTACAGTTAATTTATCTCTTCTTACTTAATTTGTTAATCTTAATCTAGAACTATTCAAGTTCATATTGAGAAATTCCTAATTGTTTTTACAATGCTGAATTAATACATGCATGTAATGTAATCAAGTATGTATATAATATAAAGAACGAAAGAAAAGAAAACTTAATCCAAAACTTTTTCATTGTTAATATTCACATATTTAATCCATATGTAAATTTAATTTCCTACTAAGTATGTGTAGTATTCAGAGTAGTATTATTTATACGTTTCTATGCACTTTTTCAAAACAATTATTGACCACAAACAGAATCCTTCAATATTACTTGGTGTAAATTTTAATTATTACAATCACATATTTGTAATATTTCATTGATAAAATGCCTAATGGAATATAAGTGAAACAAATGTTTCAGCAGATCCTCATATTGATATTAATAACCCATAATTATAACACTATCATCCTTGAATATAATGTACTGCTATGGTAAGTCAGAATTTTAAAATAGTACATACCGATACTAGGATAGATTAACAAAGCTTAATTGTAAGGAATTCTTTTTAGATTCCCACAGATTCTAATGCACGTAAAATGTTATTCAATAACTAGTATTGCCAGTTATTTTTTATTTATATCGTTTAAATTTCCGACTCATAAATCTCATCTAATAAGTGTATATTGTTTTATACAATTGTAGGAAAAATGAAGGTGTATATTAACCTTGGTCTATTCATATAAATCAGTGCAGATTGATAATCTTACTTAAGGGTTAAACAAATTTACACAAACCTTTCTTGTTAATCATCTTTATTCCCCTAGTAATTTTACCATATCCAGGAAATTACTACAACATAGTCATGATCAAGAGGCTATAATATTTATTTAGTGTTAACTTACAATATTCAGTTTTTTTAAGGTAAAACCTGTTAACGATTTACACCATAATTTGTCTCATGACAAGCACTTAGATAATTTTTCAACACTCTAAACAATATAAGTTGGTAAATGTTACATCAATATTTTTCTTTTTTTTTAATAAGATTTGTTTAATCATCGGGTTGTCATAAGTGATGAAATTTATTTCCGTTGGATTCGCCAACTTGAACGGATTGTTTCTCTTCATATCTAAATTACATAGTATTGTAGTGAACAAGAACACCAGTAGGGACATTCGAATGTATTTACCACAAAATTACAGGACTTCTTAATAAAATCCAATTGTCTCAAAATGACTCAGACTTCATTGTTCTTGCATTTTCATACAAATCGCATTCTCTTTCCATTCTTTACTGTTCGATCCTCTTGTTTCTCTGATGCCAGACCTTCTATTCACGACCAACACCAAAACTACTTATGTCAATATATGTAGCACACACCACAGTATGAACAAAATCATAGTCATCATATAACACTGGTTACAGCAATATACAGCTGATAGAACACCATTAAGTTTACATTTATACCTAATCTATAATAATAACTACATAGTTGATAAAGGGAAATTCCTTTCACAATAAACGGTGACAAGTACAATCCAGTATAAAACTATTTTGAAATAAGATATTTTCTCACAAAATTATGTTTTACATTTGTTATTTATAACTGCATATGTATGGTGTTAAACGACTAAAAGTAACCCATAGATATGTTTAGATTCAGCTTTTGTGTCCTGTTGGCATTGATAATAAAAAGCGAACTTACAACTCTGAAAAAAATTGCTACTTTTTCATAGATTCATATCCAAATTACCTATTACTCAATAGGCTACAATTGTCACTAGAAATTGAATAAAATTCAACATTGATTACTATCCAAAGGTCTGTGTTGCACAACCGTAGGCAACCATACTTTATAAATGTAATTCGAAATTTGTGATATTTTATCACACTAGAAATAAGAAACATCCTCTTGTTTTGACCTAGACTATGGATTTTTTGAGTGGTTTTATTTGTTGAAGATACCTGTTTCTTAATGCTTTATATATTCACTTATAATCTTTATAATATATGAAAAAGTCTGTCATAACCATTTTGATGAATAATCACTGACACTGTCAATTAGTTTATCCAACTTTTGACATGATGAATCAAACTTCATGTCCTGAAATAAATTTCTTAATTTCTGTATTTATAATTATTTACGTAATAAAAGTAAGTGTTTTCACCATATAATATCTTATTACATAAAAATGGTCATAAAAAAACACCAATGGAATCTCTTCATTACTCGAGGAAAATCAAGCGAATGAAGAATGCACAAGTTTCTTATAAGAATTTTGTATGTTCTTGTTGTTAATATTAGGGGTTACAAGTGACTAGTCTCTATTTGACATTTTTATGCATCTAGAACAGACTCATTTGATATTGCTTTTTCTGCTTTGATGATGAGTAGCAATTTAATTGAAAAATATCATTTGAAAACGACTATACAAGTTAGTTAAATAAAACAAACGAAAACTAGTAAAATGTTTGACTATAAAATAACGAACATTTCTATATCTTCATGAATTACTGTTAAGATTTATCAGTTAAGCTTTTCGGCCTATAAAGATTAATCTATAACAGTAGGGATTCAATTTTTCGTCTTAACATCATTAATCTACACTTTTCATTATTCATATTTGGATCGAATACCATTCGAATTTTACTGTACAGTTGAACTATGTTGTATCTGAGTTTTCACTTTCAATTACTTTCAGAAAGTTAATTCAGTTAGTTATAGTCAATGTAAGACCTTGTACAAATATGTGTTCACACATCTTGTAATATTCCGTACAAGCACAAAGAAATTTACAAGATTTAAAGCTAAAAACCTCTAGCTTCAAATAATAATGATGGTGAATAAAATAAAAAACGCACAGTTAGAAAATGGAAAATTCGGAAACGATTAGTTTTAAATAATTTTAGAACTGATAATTCAAAAAAAATAAAGAATATGAGTATTTGATTTGTTACAGATCAAACGTT